GAGTGGCTACTCCCGGCCACCGCAGCCTCGGCCTGCTGGGCTCCCTGGATCCTTCCGCCTCAACCTTCCAAGTAACCGGAATTACAGGCATGCGCCACCACGCCCGGCTGATTTTTTTTGTTTATTGTAGAGATGAGTTCTCGCTGCCCAGGCAGGTCTCGAACCCGCAGGCTCAGGCAATTCCCTCACCTCAGCCTCCAAAGGCGCGGGATTACAGGCTGAGCCACCGAGCCCGGCTTAAAGAAGGGTTTGCATGCATGGAAGTGGCAGGTTATGGGGAGTGAAAATTTTTTTTTTCTTTTTTAGAGACATGGTCTCACTCTGTTGCCAGGCTGAAGTGCAGGGGCCCAACCCTAGCTCACTGCAGCCTCAAACTCCTGACCTCAAGGGATTCTCCTATCTCGGCCTCCCAAAGCGCTAGGTGTGAGCCACCATGCCCAGTCAAGGAGTGAACACTTTTAAAGTTACTGCTGATTGTAGTGGCTCCTACTTGTAGTCTCAACTACTTGGAAGGCTGAGGTGAGAGGTGAGAGGCCAAAAGGTCAAGGCTGCAGTGAGCTGGGGTCAGGCCACCGCACTCCAGTCTGGACAAAAAAGCGAGACCCTGTCTCTAAAAAGGGGGAAAAAACGAAGTTACTGGCACCCCTCGCTAACAGCCTTCCAGAGTGGCTGCACCAGCATCACCCCCACAAGGGTCTTGCCATCAGTGTTTCTGCAAGTCCTCACACGCCCCTGCACCTGCCCCTGCAGGTGAAGCAGGAGAAATGGCTTGGTACTGCTAGGTAGTCAGAGCTGCGAGGGTCAGGGGGCTGTGAGAGGTGGAGCCAGGCTTCAGAAGCCAGGGAAGGCACCAGCCAACGCCTGACGCCCAGGGGCGCTGCCTTCGGGTGATGCTCAGAGAGACGCCACAAGTGTGTCCAGAGCAGATTTCCCCCTTGAAAAGTTCCTCAGTTGGAGGGAAAGAATCCTCTGGTCCTCTCAGCCAGTCAGCCACTGCAACCAGGGCTTCCTGGGGACCAGGAGGGGGCCAGCCAGGTCATCCCACCCACATCCTGTGCAGGCTAAACTCAATAAATTGATGGCCTTTGTGGGTCAGAGCTCTCTCCAAGCAACCTAGGATTGGCATGCACAGAATTCCAAGTCTCTGTGGAGTTATCAGACACTCAAGAATCCTTCACGGACACTCCTCTCATTCCCACAGCCCTGCCAAGACGACCCAGCTGAGTGTGGTGGCACGCACCTTATAGTCCCGACTACTTGGGAGGCTGAGGTGGAAGGATCACTTGAGCCCAAAAGGTCGAGGCTACAGGCAGGGGCGAAAGGCCACTCCTTCACCAGCCACCGCTTTGCATCCTACATTTTGCTCCGCCTAATTTTACATGCGTACATCCAAATCTGCAGTCTCTTGTACATATGCGAGGTTCTAGTCAATCCCCTGAGGCAAAAGAATACCACAAGGCACTGCTCACCCAAGCTGAGAACAAGGGTTTCCAGTCTAGGGATGTCTGTTGAGAGGTAAAATTTCAGGGGGAAAAATGGAGGAACATCAAAGACTTGCAAACATTTAGTTTTGCCAAATTAGGATGGCAAATATCACAATAATAATAAACCATCATTTACCACTCCTTAAAAGACACATTTTAGCACCTAAAGGGAGTTGGCAGGAAAAATGGGTTTTTTTCTCTTGCCTTTTTCCAGTCGATTAAGTCTCATTTGCATCTCTGGCCATCTTCTTACACCATTCTTTCTCCTCTCACTATGCCCAGCTAATTTTAGATTTATTGTAGAGACAAGTACTCACCAAGTTGCCGAAGCGGGTCTCAAACCCGCGGGCTGGGGCAATCCACTCACTTCAGCCTCCCTAAGTGCTAGGATTATAGGCTGAGCCACTGAGCCCGGATGGAATTCATATTTCAACAGATAAATCTGGGGGAGACAGAAACTTTCAGCCCATTATCATCTTCTTTAATTTTTCTTGGCAATACATCATAGTTTCCAGTATATAGGTCTTGCATATCTTTTGTCAAATGTATCCCTAAGTGGTTAATATTTTTGATGCTATTGTAAATGGCATTACTTTTAAAAATTCAATTTTGGATTATTTGTTGCTATATATAGAAATACAATTGGTTTTTGTATATGGGTCTTGTATTATGCAATCTTGCCAAACTCACTCATTAGTTATAGTGGCTTTTGGGGGGTAGATTCCATAGAATTTTCCACAGAGACAATCATTTCATCTGTGAATGAAGATAGTTTTACTTCTTGTTTTCAGTCTGGATGCTTTTATTTCCTTCTTACCTTTTACATAAGCTATTCTGCCAAGAGGCAGAATACTAAAAAAGAGATGGTGAAAGCACACATCTTTGCCTTGTTCCTGATCTGAGGGGAAAAGCATTCAGTCTTTTGTCATTAAGCATGATGTTACCTGTAGGGTTATCATAAATGTCTTTCATTAGGTTGGGACAATCATCATCTATCCCTTTTTTAAAAATCAGAAATGGATGTTGATTTTGTCACTGACTTTTCTGTAACTCTTGAGATGATTATGTGGCTTTTCTTTTTTAGTCTATAAATATGACTCCATTTTTGGACTTTCTAATGTTAAATCAACAATGTATTTCTGGGACTAACTTGACTTGGTCATGAGGAATATTGGTATGTAGTTATCTTTTCTTGTTAAGGTCTTTGTCTGGTTTTGGTATCAAGGTAAGTTGGGAAGTATTCCCTCCTCTTCAATTTCCTGGAAGAGTTTGTGTAGAATTGGTGATATTTTTCTTTATATGTTTGGCAAAATGAATCAGTGAAGGCTTCTAGGACTGAAGTTTTTTTGTTTGTTTGTTTGTTTTGAGTTGGAGTCTCACTGTCACCCAGGCTGGAGTGCAGTGGCATGCTCACAGCCACTGCAGCCTCAACCTGCTGAGCTCAGGCAATCTTTCTGTCTCAGCCTCCCAAGTAGCTGGAACTACAAGTGTGCGCCACCACATCTGGCTAATTTTTTGATTTATTGTTGAAAAGAGGTCTCGCCAAGTTGCCCAGGTGGTTCTCGAACCCACAGACTCAGGCACAGACTGAGACTACAGGCTGAGCCACTGAGCCTGGCTATCTTCCCTCTTTTTATATACTTTTGTATATAGAAAAACTGGACCCCAAAAGCTAGAATTTATTTATTAAAAATTGTGTATTTATTTACTTATTTTGAGTCAGAGTCTCACTCTGTCAGCCAGACTGGAATGCAGTGGCACGCTCACAGCCACTGCAGCCTCGACCTTCTGGGTTCAGGCTATCCTTCTGCCTCAGTCTTCCAAGTAGGTGGAACTACAGGTGTGCGCCACCATGCCTGGCTAACTTTTTGATTTACTGTAGAAACGAGGTCTCTCCAAGTTGCCCAGGCTGGTCTTGAAGCCCTTGGCTCAGGCAGTCCTCTTGCCTCTGCTTCCCAAAATGCTGGGATTACAGGCATGAGCCACCACACTCAGCCTTTTGTCTCTAAGGTAATACAAATTCATTTCCTTTCATATGTCATTTACATGCATGCTCGTGATGAAAGTTTTATGTCATTTACCTAATTTGTGCCAAATTTGCCTTTATCATTTTGTATTGTCGCAGAGAGGTCAGACTTCAAGATGTTTCTAGGTCCTTTATCATGAATTTATGCGAAGGGTCAACGAAGCCAGTGGTGAGAAAGAGAACTAAGTCTCTGTTTCCTAACTGGTTACAGGGTTCAGAACTACCCCCAACCCAGCATAAAGAGTCTGCTTCCTTCACAAAAATAGGGAAGTCACACTGGATCTTTTAAGACCTTTTCCTGCTCAGAAGTTCAGAGAATACTTCCCAACTCAGGAGTTTTTCAGGCAAAAAAAAAAAAAAAGTCAACAAATGTAGCTTCAGTTAGTTGTACTCATGTGTTCAAATCAGTAGGTTTGGGTTGGTTCTTATTGTGGCAAGGGATAAGATAGCTTGGCCTGTGCCCGCTGGGAGCTCACATTTACTGGGGGACACAGCACAGAAACATAACCACAGCGTCCCAAGGATGGGGTGAGGGTCGAACAGAAACATGACCACAGTATCAGAGGGTCACAGAGTGACCAGTAGGCATTGGCAGTTTTGGGGTCTTAGAACATGTCTAAGTCAGATGATTATAGATGGTGCCACACATCTATAATCCCAGCTACTTGAGAGGCCATTGGCAGGAGGATCACTTGAGGCCAGGTGTTCGAGACCCCATCTCTTTTAAGAAAAGAAAATTTCGAAGGAGTTTGTCCAGGTGGGCATATTCCTTGTAAACCATTGAAAACAGAGTTTTGGAGTTTCCACGTTCTGGAGGTCCCCCTTTGGAGAACACAGCTTTATTGTCAGCATTAAATAAATATACCAGCCTAGGCAACAGAGACCTCATCTCTACAAAAAAATTTTAAAATTAGCCAGGCATAGTGGCGCACACCTGTAGTCCTAGCTACTAAGGAGGCTGAGGCAGAAGGCTCACCTGAGCCCAGGAAGCTGAGGCTGTGGTGAGCCGTGATTGTGCCACTGCACTCTAGCCTGGGCAACAGAGTGAAACCCTGACTCAAAAAAAAAAAAAATGACTTGCTTGGGGAGCTTTGAAACAAACCTCTTCCCAGGCTCCACTCCACCTGGCCAAGACCGGCTGCGTCTTGCCTCCTCTTCCTGATAGATGTGGGCCCACGGGCCTAGCCCGTAACAGCCACGAGAGACACTCCCTCCTCCTCTTCAGTGACACTGTGGGTCCACTCGTCAAAGGTGATGGTGTCACGAGATGGGAAGAGGCGCAATCCCTGAGTTACCGCTGGGAGTGCCACTCAACCCACGCGTGACCCTTCAGTGAACCATGCAGGCAAAGTCACCGAGATGTGGTTGTGGGGAGGGCTGGCCTCTCCTGAACTTCTGATTTAATTGCTCCGGAGGGGACCCTGGGCAACTGTTCCTAGCCTCCGCGCTCCAGGTGATTCTAGGGTGCAGCCAGGGTTGAGAACCACCGGACAAAAATACAAGCACAGAGTTGCTTAGTAGAGGAACGATGAGTTTCCAGGGTGCCCAGGAGGTGGGAAGGGGGCGGAGCCAAGGGGGACCCCAGGAGAAAAGTTGGCCCGAGACACATTCTTTGTCCAACACAAACAGTCAGGGCCCTTCAGAATGGGAGCATTTAATAATCAATGCTCAGTTCCCACCAGAGCTGCAAGGGGGGGCGCCTGGAGCCCCCACGGCTGCCCATGCCCGTCCCGTGTGGTGGACGCTTTGGGGAAACCAGCACGGCAGGGAGAAGGGACTCGCCAATGTCCCCTCCTGAGAATCCTCCATGATCCAGAAGGCATGGCCCGCCGGGGTCTCCGAAGAAGTCAGGTGGAGAGGAAGCCTGACCCCTTCACCCTGGAGGATTCACCACACACGCAGCCCTGTGGTGACACCTGGGTGACATTCCGGTGCCACCTATGGCCCCTGTGGTTGAGCACCTGGAATCAGTCATTGCGTCAGCCTCCGTGACACGTTCAGAGGCTGCGACTGAGGCCCGGAGAGGCGGGGGGACCCAATGAAGGCCCCACAAGTTCTGGGTGGAGCTGAGTAGGTTACCTCAACGTCTCCAAACCCTCCGGCCCCTCAGATGCTCACAGACTCCTGGGCATGAGCATTTACACAGAGTATCATATGGGGACGGGGGAGCGGGGAGGGATGGGGGAGCAGGGAGGGACGGGACGGGGAAAAGGCAGCCAGACAAAGGCGTGTCACCCAACTCCCACGCCACAGTCACCCGTGCGGTGCTCCCAGGGCTCACCCTCCCCAAAACCGCCCCCCGCCCTGACCCAGACAAAGACGAGGGAGCCCGGAGCCTCTGCTTCCACATTTAATCGGAGGAATAGAAAGAAAACCAGAGAGAAAACTTGAGAAGTGGATGACTGAGGGAGTGGGGAGAGGAGGGGGGAGGGGGAAGGGGTTGGGCCTGGGTGTGGACAGCGGGCGACAGGGTCCTCGTTCTGAGGTCTCCAAACGCAAGAGTCCACACTGAGAGGAGGCAGGACAGTCACAGAGCCGGGAGGCGCAAGCAGGGCACGCACACCTGTTCCAACCCAGCCTCGCCTGGGTGAACCAAGGATCAGACAGCCTCTGCCCCTACCCGGCAAGTGCTGGAAGGGGAGTGGACGGGGCGCGGGCCAGGGAGGCAGGAGACCACCCAGAGGGAGGACTGGGAAAAGACAGGACAGGAGGGGCCCAGCCCTGCCCTCTGGGCACCACTAGAGGTGACAGAGCCGTGAGGGCAGGTGCCAACTCCATCCCCAACAGAGATGATGGTCCCTCGGTCAGGGGGCTTCCAGAGTCTGGCAGATGCTCCCACAGCCTCAGGCTGGCAGGAAAACAGCTCACTGTCTCCCCGCTCCCCTCCCCTTCGGCTGAGGGTGACGCAGGGGGCAGCAGGACGGAGGATGAAAGGACACTGACCACACAGACGAGGTGGGAGAGGCCGACCTTACCCCTCCTGTGCACATCCTATGCAAATGCAAATGAGTTCCTAATAGAATAAATATATTTCTAACATCTGTAATAAATATTCTGTTTATCCCCCCCTTCCCTAGGAAACGGGCACACAGTGGTCCAGGGGCCAGCTTTGGCTGACGCTGCAGCGAAGGCTAGTTAGACACTCAGAAGAACTGGGAGGCACAGGGGTGGGTGAGGTGTCCCGTGTGATCCCCTGAGGACAGGGTCACCCCAGGAAGGATCATGGAGAAGGGTGAGGGGTGGGGCGCCCATGGAAGTCCAGGACGGCATTCTCTTCTTAAAGGGGATTCTCCTATTTTACAAGCTGCCCTCCCCAAGGACAGGAGGGTGGCACGGGGGAGGGGGGCACAATGGAGAGTGGGGGGCCTTGGGAGAGCCCAGGCTTTGGAATCTGGGCTAAGAGGGAGCCCCCAGAAAGGGGCCCCAGAGAGTGACCCCCAGAACTAAACAACCCTTCGCCTCCTGCCCCTAAAATTAAACTTGCCAACCACTGCCCTGGTGCTGGAAACAGACCAGACACCTGGCACGTGAAACCACTAGGGGCCCATGCCACCGAGCGGATGTCTCCCCCTGGTGTCGTGTGCGAGGAACTTGCTGGAGGGCACCAGTCCTCAAGCCCGAGCTCTGTGACCGGGTACCCACACAGGCCCCTGCAGCCCCCTCAGCCCCTCCAACCTGGCAGCCCTGATGGAGTGGGCTACCCTGACCTATCCGGAGAGGTGAAACCGGACCCAGGCCCCACACACGGAGTCCAGACATGTTCCCGCTGTGGGTCGTGGGGTGCCTGGAGCTCTTCGGGGTCACAGCAGGTGCCCGGTCGCAGGGCCGGCCCCCCATGCTGCCCCACCTGGCTGAGCCCACGGCCCCGCCAGCTTCACCCTACGGGGAGCAGGCCTGACCTGTCAGGGCACATTGGAGAAGTGTGAGGAGAGACTTCGGCAGTGAGAAGCTGTGGAGGAGGGTAGGGCGCAGAGGTATCTGCTTCCGGGACCCTGACCCTTCCTGAGGCAGCCGAGAGCTGCACTGTCCCCAGCTGTGGCCACTGGCTCACGCTTCGGCCCCCTCAGCCTTCAAAATGGCACCAGGCTGGCACCACCGCCCTGGCCTGCCGGGCCTCCAGGCCACATGGAAACAGCTCCCAGGACGCAGGGATGAGAGAGGGAGAGCCTGGAAATGGGCTGGGCCTGACCCTGACCCATCCAGAAGAGAGCCAGCGGCTGGGGCTCGGTGGCAGGGGGCACCAAGCAGCTTTTCTCTGGACTGAGCAACACGGGGGTGACTCTGACACTCCTAGGAGCAGCATGGCCCTCCGAGAGGGATAGCTGGTGGCCGGTGGACACGGGGAGTGGGCAGCACCTGGGCACAGAGGTGCCCCATGAACACCCGCCTCCCTGGCAGTGAGGCCCGCTGGGAGCTGTCACCCACGGAGAGCCAGGCACAGGGGCTCAGGGTCGCGGCGGGGAGTGGCAGGAAGGAAGTGGAAGGGTTCTGGTCCTGGGTCGCCAGCAGGCAGCTGAGGAAGGAGTGTGCAGCCTCAGTACACCCAGCTGACGGGCACCCACTGGGGCTCCGTCCGCAGCTTCTCCATGGCCGCCTGGAGCTCCCGGAAGGTCCGCTCCAGGTTGCTGTTGACCAGGCAGAGGTCGAAGTAGTGCCCATAGCCCCGCTGGATGCGGCCACTCTCCTCCACTGTGCGTCTCAGGTCTGCATCCTGCCAGGGCACGAGGGACCTCCCTCCCGTCAGTGCCCGCCAGTCACCCCCACGGCCAGGAGGATCGACAGGCTGCCCTACCTCCCCTTTCCAAGCTCAATCACAGTGGGCTCCCTGGCTAGGAGAAGGTCCCGTCCATGCTCCACTGTCTCCCACCGCCCCGCACCCCCGCCCCGGCCACAGTGGGCTCCCTGGCTGGGAGGCAGGAGCATGGCCTTCCCTGCATACCCCAAGGTGGCTGCCTTTAACCATGGGCAAGCGGTGGGTGCAGGGAAAGAAGGATGGAAACGAGCTTTAGCAGGTGCCAGGCACGGCACTAGACGCCTGTGACCCACATCCTCGTCATGGCAGCACTGCAAGGTGGGGAGAGTTATCTCCTGTGTACAACAGAGGACGCTGAGGTCTGAGGAGGTCCCATAGCCAGCCAGGGGCTGAACAGGGTCTGCCTGACTTGTGAGCTGGTGGTCCCTCCGGTGTGACTGGCCCCCTTCCCTATGCAGCGCGAGGGGCCGGCATCAGGGCACAGGTGGTACCAGGGCAGCCCACGCCCAAGGCAACCCCCACCCCAGCCCCGTGGGAGCTGGCCAAGCAGGGGTGGGGAAGGGAACTTGGCAACTGGCTGAAATAAGCCAGAGCCACCTCGTCCGAGCGGCTCCAGTTGGCCACGTTTGCTGCCAGGGAGAAGGTGCCCAGAGAGGGCACCAGGGAGGGGCTGCGCTCCCTCAGGGATCGCCAGCAAAAGGGAGCCGGCCCAGACCGCCTCTCCTGGGCCCCAGGGCTGAGGGGGCTGCGGTGCCAGACGTGGCCAGCAGAGGGAGCGCTGGGCTCAGAGAGCTGCAGACCCCGCCCCTCCTGGGACCGCAGCAGAAGGTGGGGGGCGGGCGCGGGCTGAAGTCCTGAGACGCCGGCTTGCAGCCTCTCCCCTGGACGCGTCGCCCTGGTGCTAACTCGGCCCTCCAGCCCGCCTTCCCGCCTCTGGCCTCCCTCCAGCCTTCCCCCAGTGGCAAGCAGCCCGAGCCCACAGACCTTCCCCTGGCCCCGCTCTGGCCAGCGCTCTGCCCCTGCAGAGTGGACCCAGAGGCCCGGAGTCAAAGCCCCCGCGCCCCGGCTAGCTGTGTCCCGGCCACCTCACTTCCTCTCTCACACCTCCCTTCCCAGGTGTCTAAAGCGGGATCCAGTCTCCTCTGGCTGGTGGCTCTAGTGGGCACTCTCCCTCCCCTCCACCCTCTCCTCATCAGCTGGGGCGGCCCCCACCACCCAGCAGCCTCAGAGCCCTCACCGTGAGCTGCTTGGTGGACACTCCACTCTCCAGTGCGGCCCGGTTCATGGCCCGCAGGGTCTCAAAGTCGGGGGCCTCGATGAATACCACGTACGGGACAAACTCGGCTGTTCGCAGCACCTTCACCGCCTGCGGGAGGGACGGGGGGGGGGGGTCGTGAGTCCATCCCCGCAGCTGGGCTGGAGGAAGGCAATCTGGGCGTGGAGGCAGAGGCCTGGGCTTCTGGGACACGAAGGGACGGGAGGCCGGCAGCTTGGAGGCAGCTGGGGAGGGGGGTAACTGGAGGAGACGCGGGGGACCTGGGAGGCTGGGAACGAGGTTCTAGGCGGGCGGGG